ATGTAAGTAGCATATGATAACACGATAGCATCTGCAGCCAGAGCCTCTGTGGTCGAGCTTACCGCAGGATATCAAGGGACTACTTTTTCTTTGCACTTATTCAAACACCAAACCACTGCTCCGTTTTGCCTCAGGATCCAAATTATACAGAATGTGTCTAAATGTCAGAAATGAGTAGCAGTCATTTTGTCATCACTTATCGACGATGACCTGGATGACTGAGAACCTTCACAGACATCACTTATCAGCCAAACTACCACTTCAAGCTGGACAGAGTAAGCAAACTTCAGAAGTGTAAATGTTTTCAGCTCTAAAGGACTGTCATCTCTGAAATCTGTGAAGAAAGAAAAATGCATACAGATGGAATATCGCTGGTTTCTCTTCAGGCGAAGCTGCTGTGGTTTGAACTCAAGTTCAGCACAGTCTCTCTGCTGAGACGGGCGAGTCAAAACGCAAATCTGAGCTGAAGAAGAAAGCTGAATGTCTCAGAGTTCTGAACAAACAACTTTTCATTTGGAACGGTTTATTTTGCAGTCGATGTGAAGGCAGCCATTAGGGCGTTCCACTTTTACCGCAGAATAAAATGACATGCAAAAATACCGTTAGCTAAATCCTACCACCTTCACGTCATTGCCGAGCTACAAGTCTCCCAGTTTTGATAGACTTCATGTCAGCATCCAGCCTATAATTTAGGAATGTGTGCTGAAAATTACACAAACAAAATGCATATGTCTCACAGCCAATCACAAGAGAGGCATCTATTAAAGTGCAAACTGGGACAGCTCATACATTTTTCTAAATCCATGGAGCTTACACATCCTGTAAGACCTCTTCAGTACCAACAAAAGTCATTTCTATGACATCTTCACAATATAAAGTGTATGGCCGTAGTATGAACCTGTGGCAAACACTACTGAGCATGTGCAGCAGGCCACAAAACATGCAAGCAAACCCAAACCTAGAAAATGTTACTCGTGTGATGTGCCAAGTGAGCACTTAGCATCTCTGAGTCTTGTTTTCAGTTCCCCTTAGTGCATTAGACTCCCCCCCCCCCCCCACACACACAGGATCAAAGAGTTGGCCTATAAAAATTAAAAAAAGAAAAAATGTAAATGCTTTAAATTTGGTTAATGTCCCGCTCAAGGTTATTTTCTCATCCACCTCTGGACAGCTTTCAGCATGGCTGCCATTTTTAGAGCTCCATGTTCCCCTGCACTTGTGCCTCTGTAATGGGAACTGGATCACCTCCAGTGTGATCGTTTCAACTTCATTTTCATTTTAAGGAAGCGGACAAGGGAAATGGTGGAATCCCAGAAAATGTGGAAATCATTTCAGATTTATTTATTTTCAGGCATTCAGGTTTTGGTGAACCCCCCTCAGGATATTACAGTAGCATCCTGCACTGACAGTCTCCGGGGGAGCTCCATTTACAGTGCAGAACCTCAGGCCAGTTGGAAACACAAGTTGATGTTTGGTCTCTGCACCAGTTTGCTGTTTGTGGTGAAATTATAGAGTTCACAGTGCAAGAGGTCAGGAAGGGATTTCAACGGACCGATCTAAAAATAGCAGCTGTGCTGGAAGCCATCTGGACATGTCTGAGAAGATGTTGTCCAATTTTAAATCATGTGTGTTTTTTGATACGTCCGTTTCCTGAATGCTTTAATCAAGTCTGGTAAAACCCAGTGATAACATCAAGTTTAAAAAAATCAGCAAATTGGGACAGTTAGTTCTGCTTTGTTAAGTCATTGCTACAGGTGGTAGAAATAATCCCCAGGAGTCCCACCTGTGTTTTCCAAACCACAGACACGGTTCCTCTTATGACACCTATTTGGCATCTGCAGAAAGTTTGACAGAACTGGCGAGGTCACCTACCTGAGAGGACCTTTACATTGTTTTCCTGAAAAATGTGACACGTCATGACAATCCAGATTTGAAAATAGCCTACATGTAGTTTCAGCTCACGAGGGATGTGTAAGCCATCCTTTTTTCAGTGTATTTTTCCTTTTTACAAGCGCTCTTGTCTCACGAGTTTGTGTGTATGCGTGTTTATTTTATTCCCAGTCGGGGTGAAGAAGCTGAGTACATCAGATAATATTTCAGAACAAGAGCATGGCAAACAACCTTCTCCACCTGAGTGCCCCGTATGACTGTGCACGACACTAGAACAGTGTGTTCACAGCAGCAGAGGAGCAGGTGAGGACAGGACAGACGGATCGCAGATGGGTGGGAAATGTGACACTGATGGTTCAAAGGTGTACAGTGGGGCAAAAAAGTATTTAGTCAGCCACCGATTGTGCAAGTTCCCCCACTTAAAATGATGACAGAGGTCAGTAATTTGCACCAGAGGTACACTTCAACTGTGAGAGACAGAATGTGAAAAAAAAATCAATGAATCCACATGGTAGGATTTGTAAAGAATTTATTCGTAAATCAGGGTGGAAAATAAGTATTTGGTCACCTCAAACAAGGAAAATCTCTGGCTCTCACAGACCTGTAACGTCTTCTGTAAGAAGCTTTTCTGTCCCCCACTCGTTACCTGTATGAATGGCACCTGTTTGAACTCATCATCTGTATAAAAGACACCTGTCCACAGCCTCAAACAGTCAGACTCCAAACTCCGCCATGGCCAAGACCAAAGAGCTTTCGAAGGACACCAGGAAAAGTATTGTAGACCTGCACCAGACTGGGAAGAGTGAATCTACAATAGGCAAGCAGCTTGGTGTGAAAAAATCAACTGTGGGAGCAATCATCAGAAAATGGAAGACATACAAGACCACTGATAATCTCCCTCGATCTGGGGCTCCACGCAAGATCTCATCCCGTGGGGTCAAAATGACCATGAGAACGGTGAGCAAAGATCCCAGAACCACACGGGGGGACCTGGTGAATGACCTGCAGAGAGCTGGGACCAAAGTAACAAAGGTCACCATCAGTAACACACTACAACGGCAGGGAATCAAATCCCGCAGTGCCAGACGTGTTCCGCTGCTGAAGCCAGTGCATGTCCAGGCCCGTCTGAAGTTTGCCAGAGAGCACATGGATGATACAGCAGAGGATTGGGAGAATGTCATGTGGTCAGATGAAACCAAAGTAGAACTTTGTGGTATAAACTCAACTCGTCGTGTTTGGAGGAAGAAGAATACTGAGTTGCATCCCAAGAACACCATACCTACTGTGAAGCATGGGGGTGGAAACATCATGCTATGGGGCTGTTTTTCTGCCAAGGGGACAGGACGACTGATCCGTGTTAAGGACAGAATGAATGGGGCCATGTATCGTGAGATTTTGAGCCAAAACCTCCTTCCATCAGTGAGAACTTTGAAGATGAAACGAGGCTGGGTCTTCCAACATGACAATGATCCAAAACACACCGCCCGGGCAACAAAGGAGTGGCTCCGTAAGAAGCATTTGAAAGTCCTGGAGTGGCCTAGCCAGTCTCCAGACCTCAACCCCATAGAAAATCTGTGGCGGGAGTTGAAAGTCCGTGTTGCTCGGCGACAGCCCCAAAACATCACTGCTCTCGAGAAGATCTGCATGGAGGAATGGGCCAAAATACCAGCTACTGTGTGTGCAAACCTGGTAAAGACCTATAGTAAACGTTTGACCTCTGTTATTGCCAACAAAGGTTATGTTACAAAGTATTGAGTTGTATTTTTGTTATTGACCAAATACTTATTTTCCACCCTGATTTACGGATAAATTCTTTACAAATCCTACCATGTGGATTCATGGATTTTTCTTTCACATTCTGTCTCTCACAGTTGAAGTGTACCTCTGGTGCAAATTACTGACCTCTGTCATCATTTTAGGTGGGGGAACTTGCACAATCGGTGGCTGACTAAATACTTTTTTGCCCCACTGTAAAAGGGCACAACTAAAGGGCCAGAACGGAGAAACGTTTGTGTTGTGATTTTAACACAAATTGTGTTTTCTCAGATTAGCTGCCTGCTGCTTATATTAAACTATCAAATAGCCAAAAACATCATCACAGAGCTATTTCGACTCCACACCACAGCTTTCAAACCATCTACTAGGGCTGGGCCATATCATACTGTTCACGGTAATACCGGTATAATGTTGGGCAACGATAAGAAAATGAAATATCGCGATAGAATATGGGTCAAACGCGCATGCCTTTGTTTTCATACGCACATGGCGGAAAAAATCATGGCGGCAACGGAGAATGAGAAGAGCGAGAGCGGATCGTTGAATGAAACAGATGAACCAGAACTGGTTTGTAAAAATGCTGCAGCTTCACTGGTGTGGAACTGGTTTAGCTTTCGTCCGTCAGATACACAACAAAGCACTATTTTTGGTAGAGCATGCTAGCGGGCCGTCGTTATTACCGTATTGTTTGGAAAATACGGCACACTTAAAATCATCCTTTGATTTTTCTGAAAATCCACAGAGCCCCTTATAATCCCGTGTGCCTTATGTATGAACTCTGGTTGTGTTTACTGACCTCGAAACGATTTTATGTACACGGCGCTCGAAAATCTGTCAAATGTTTCAGTACGGCTTTGCTAAGCTACGAAGCCGCACCGCTTGATGGATTGTCGGAGCATTACGGCTATCGTAGGCGGAGCGATAGGTACTGTGCTTCAACATAATGTTACCGTATTGTGTGTGTATAACCTCTTTTTAAGTTTTGTGGATATTATACATGGTTATGCTGAGGATATGTCGGCCAGTTTCCACTGGAAACGCCTTTTGGTTAAACTGTCAGCGAGGAATTTGCACTGTTACATTTTTATATAACTTTAATGCACATAAAAAAACAGCTGCTTGTTTAAGTGAAAATACATTCATGTGTTTTCTTTTTTTTTTTGCACTAATAAAGTTGTGGAGTTGTAAAGTATTTTGTCTCGTGTCAGTTATATCGTCAGTTATATTGTTATCGCAAATTTTCAAATGTATATCATGATAAATATTTTCGGTCATATCGGCCTGCTCTATCATCTACTTGTAAATATTTTATAGATAAAGTCTCTTGTACTCACCTCCAAAGTGTGCTCTCAGTGACGCTGCCGATATGAAAATCGTACAGCTTGGTTAGGATCAGGATCACCTGAAAAAGAGGGAATGTAATTGTTAGAATCTTTTTATGAGGCGGACAAAGCGATTAATGAATTCTTTACTGTAGCAGAATGGCGACTAATGCATGAATACAGCATCCCAGATTTAGGATGGCTTAAGAGGCAGAGCACTAATAATAATAATAATAATAATGGATTGGATTTATATAGCGCTTTTCAAGGCACCCAAAGCGCTTTACAATACCACTATTCATTCACTCTTGCATTCACACACTGGTGGAGGCAAGCTACGGTTGTAGCCACAGATGCTGACAGAAACGAGGCTGCCATATCGCGCCATCGGCCCCTCTGGCCAACACCAATAGGCAGTAGGGTAAAGTGTCTTGCCCAAGGACACAATGACCAGGACAGAGAGCCCGGGGATCGAACTGGCGACCTTCCAGTTACAGATACGCTTCCCAACCCCTTGAGCCACGGTCGCCCCAATTGCCTGTGAGTTTTTACTGAATTCAGTTTTTGCTGATGGATCCTTGGACACTCCAAGTCCAGTGTTGACACACATCAATTTGTTCAGAATGCTCTGCTGATTGCAAACACAGTGATTGTATGCAAATAAAATGAATCACAATGCTATTAAAGTCACTGTAGCTTGGAGTTGTTTCATTTATAAGAGTTGTTAGTTACGTCAGTAGTTACTGATATACAGTGGGGCAAAAAAGTATTTAGTCAGCCACCGATTGTGCAAGTTCCCCCACTTAAAATGATGACAGAGGTCAGTAATTTGCACCAGAGGTACACTTCAACTGTGAGAGACAGAATGTGAAAAAAACAATCCATGAATCCACATGGTAGGATTTGTAAAGAATTTATTCGTAAATTAGGGTGGAAAATAAGTATTTGGTCACCTCAAACAAGGAAAATCTCTGGCTCTCACAGACCTGTAACGTCTTCTGTAAGAAGCTTTTCTGTCCCCCACTCGTTACCTGTATGAATGGCACCTGTTTGAACTCATCATCTGTATAAAAGACACCTGTCCACAGCCTCAAACAGTCAGACTCCAAACTCCGCCATGGCCAAGACCGAAGAGCTTTCGAAGGACACCAGGAAAAGTATTGTAGACCTGCACCAGACTGGGAAGAGTGAATCTACAATAGGCAAGCAGCTTGGTGTGAAAAAATCAACTGTGGGAGCAATCATCAGAAAATGGAAGACATACAAGACCACTGATAATCTCCCTCGATCTGGGGCTCCACGCAAGATCTCATCCCGTGGGGTCACAATGATCATGAGAACGGTGAGCAAAGATCCCAGAACCACACGGGGGGACCTGGTGAATGACCTGCAGAGAGCTGGGACCAAAGTAACAAAGGTCACCATCAGTAACACACTACAACGGCAGGGAATCAAATCCCGCAGTGCCAGACGTGTTCCGCTGCTGAAGCCAGTGCATGTCCAGGCCCGTCTGAAGTTTGCCGGAGAGCACATGGATGATACAGCAGAGGATTGGGAGAATGTCATGTGGTCAGATGAAACCAAAGTAGAACTTTTTGGTATCAACTCAACTCGTCGTGTTTGGAGGAGGAAGAATACTGAGTTGCATCCCAAGAACACCATACCTACTGTGAAGCATGGGGGTGGAAACATCATGCTATGGGGCTGTTTTTCTGCCAAGGGGACAGGACGACTGATCCGTGTTAAGGACAGAATGAATGGGGCCATGTATCGTGAGATTTTGAGCCAAAACCTCCTTCCATCAGTGAGAACTTTGAAGATGAAACTAGGCTGGGTCTTCCAACATGACAATGATCCGAAACACACCGCCCGGGCAACAAAGGAGTGGCTCCGTAAGAAGCATTTGAAAGTCCTGGAGTGGCCTAGCCAGTCTCCAGACCTCAACCCCATAGAAAATCTGTGGCGGGAGTTGAAAGTCCGTGTTGCTCGGCGACAGCCCCAAAACATCACTGCTCTCGAGAAGATCTGCATGGAGGAATGGGCCAAAATACCAGCTACTGTGTGTGCAAACCTGGTAAAGACCTATAGTAAACGTTTGACCTCTGTTATTGCCAACAAAGGTTATGTTACAAAGTATTGAGTTGTATTTTTGTTATTGACCAAATACTTATTTTCCACCCTGATTTACGGATAAATTCTTTACAAATCCTACCATGTGGATTCATGGATTTTTCTTTCACATTCTGTCTCTCACAGTTGAAGTGTACCTCTGGTGCAAATTACTGACCTCTGTCATCATTTTAGGTGGGGGAACTTGCACAATCGGTGGCTGACTAAATACTTTTTTGCCCCACTGTAATTCCAAGTACATTCAAAGAAAAAGATGCAGATTTAAGTAGCTTTAGCTTTTTTAATGATATCAAACAAGAGAATGTTATCACTGTGAAAGATATTATTTTGAAATCAAACTGACAGAAGACCCCAGAGAAGAACCACTACATGCCGCAGTTATAACGTGCCCTGTCTGGGTTGAGCACACCTCAGGATCCCTAGAGATGTCGCAGAGGAGAAGACTGTCTAGCCTATCAAGCTTAAGCTGCTGTCACCTGTGGTGAAAAATTAATGCAGAGATTAAAAGGGCCTCCTTTTCAAAGAGCTATTCTCCAGTTGTAAGCCTTATGATCCCATCACTTATGACCCCAAAAATCAATAAGTTTTAACACAAGAAGCATCCCTGAGGTGATTGCTGAAAGGTCTTTCTTCCCTCAAAAGGTACATACTGTAAAAAAAAAAAACATTTATGGTATTTTGAATACTCTGCAACACTGGTTAGGAAAAGACTACAAGGCCCTGGAAGTGTTAGCATGTTGCTAGGTAGTGCTTTGCATAATTAGCGGTGTTTGCCACTTTCAAACTTCAAACTTGATGGAGCACGCTGACATTCTTGCCCCTGTGGAAAAGTCTGATCCAACAGTCTCTGTGTTCACAGCTTTGGTCTGGGCTCTTTTGGAGAGATAATCAGCAGGCAGGGCACTATGATAAGCACTGTGCGAGTCCTCAGAGCACATCGCAAGATGAAGGACTAGTTTGCTGTGACAGGATCAGTGGTCAGCTGTGATACTCCACGCTAGAGTAAAGGATCATAAATCTGTTGCTCAGGGACAGCTGGGCTGTAATGTCAGAGGAGGAAAAAACACTGTTCATTATACTTAACCATCTGGTCCCTCTACTTATGCTCACCTCTGGGTTACAGAACGCAGTCAAAAGATTTCTTTCATAGGAGAGCGAGCTCCTGCAATTGTCTTGGATTTATCACACACTTGACCCGACCTCACCGGGAGCCAAGCTCCTTTTACATAATAAGATGCTACTTTCACCCGTCAGCACACGTGTTTTTCGTAGCTGTACTGTTTTCCTTCTGACTAAATGACTATTGCTCCTTCTCATTAGCATCCATGTCTCTTGTTAGCATTCCCCTCCCTGCAACAAGCTTCTGCTTGTTTAAAGCAACCTGACAGGCCTGACTTGAGTCATTTGGCTGGGAGGGGGTGAAGGAGGTGTGGCCTTGACTCTTTTGACAGAAGTCAGCAATTGAGGCTAGATAAGCAGAACTTAGTAAAGAACCAGTTTCTTGGCTCCCCTGACCTCCTGTAGTACTTGTGTTCGTGAAGCTCGTGAGGCCCGCAGACTTCAAGGACCTTTCCACCTCTGGCCGAGCCTCACACTCCCCACAAGCCCTATGAACGAGCCAGTCGCTCACCAGAGTCCTTGGATGGAGCTTGTGTGAAGATGTGCCACATGCCCAAGGGGTCCTCCTACTAACAATGCGAACATACAGTTCAGGCCAAACAAGATTGCAGTCCAGTGAGAGGCCAGTGCTGCATAGGAAGAAGATGGATTCCTGCCATTCGGCTCCACAACATCGCAAAACTTGGTCTTTGTGTGCATTAACATGATTATCTTTGTTAGAAGAGCACTCATGCTTCCCACTCTAGACATGCATAGATCTCTGCATGCTCGTGCTTCTGTGGGCTTTGTGCTTCTGAGATGTGTGGCTGTGTCCGCTTGGGGGGGTGACACACACAGACACGAGTTGTCTCATCACCACATGACAGTCTGAATTTGAAATTCACATTGAACAACTGGCAGAAAAAACAAACAAACAAAGAAAGTACTTTTGTCCTTTCAAATATTTCTAAAGCAAATCTTGCTATGTGTCTCAAAAACATCTTTTCAGCCAGCGTTAAAGAGAGTTAAAAAAAATGTTTAATGCATTAAGCCTCAGCCCAGGATAAGAATAGCATGTGGATTTCAAAAAACACCAGTCACTGTTTATTTACACACTTGCTCGCGAGCGTTCACGGTCTTTGTTGAGGCGCCGGGTGTATTGGAAGGACAAAACCGCAGCAGGCTTGAGAAACGTTTGACAGGGTGTCTGTATTTGAAGTGCACTCTCCCCTCGTGAGTCCCCAGCTGACGTGCTTATAGAATCAAAATGTCAGTCACATTACCTTTGGATTTGCCTTGTTGCCTCAGCAATTAACCAACTGTGGTGAAAACATATTATTAGCAGAACTAAATGTCCCCCTTTCGTCATCCACAGAGTCAAAGTTCCAAACACAGTCTTGAATTTTGACTCAGCTCATAGCATGCCAATGATGCTATTAATTGCTTTTCTGAGAAAATCTCAAGCGTTTGCGGAGCAATAGATTAATTGTGATCGTGACCTGAAGAGCCGTCACCTTCGATGTCAGGTAAAAACACAAGGCAGCATATCAAGTCTAAATTAAACCTGACGTTCTATAAATAGCAGTGCGTGTGTGTTCATTCGTGCTGAATGTAGTAATTACAAGGAATGGTAAAGCTAACGCTGCTGGCATCTACATTGGACTCATCGTAAGGAAGACACGGTGGGTTCAACTTGCCTTTTTTAGTTTACCTAAACCAACCTTTCTGAAAATAAGAACAGCAAATGAAAATAAACAGACAACATTCGAGATTTGATCTTTCCCCTGCAAACAATTTATATCATTTTCTTAATTGTGCTTTTTAACACTTCCCAGAAACTTGGGACTGGCAT